GACCCTCGCGCACCGAACCGGCTCGAGAGATATGAAGCAGAAAGGTGAAGTCAAGGGCTTTGGTCGCGATTTTCGTCCGTGACGGCGGAGCTCAGGGTCTGCTGGGGGCCTCCGAGAGGGGCTCTTCGTGGCCACGGCTGGGTCCGCCTGGAGAAGCTCGGGCGGAAGGGGGGGGGATGGGGAGAGGGGCGGGTCCCGAGCTTTCGCCGCCGGGCGCTTTCCTCGAGGCATGGGCGCCTCCCTGGCCCAGGGCCGCCAGAGAAACCAGCTGCGCGAGGTGAGGCGCTGGCCCGCCCTCCTCTGCTGCCACCCCATTCGTTTAAGTCGGGCGTGTCCCCCTACAGGGTGAATATTCAAAAATAGTCATAAATAGTCTGGGGACGATTTTTTGAGTATGTTTTGACAATTTTGGAGCCATTCTGGGGTATTTTTGATTTTTCGTAAAAAAAAAAAAAAACCCTGAAGGGGGACAGGCCCGACTGAACCCTTCGTCCGCCCCGAGAGAGGACCCGGGGGGGGAGAGCCACGGCGTCGGCGGCGTCGGCGCACGTCGGCGCACGAGAGGGCGGCGACGGCGGCGCCGCCGCTCACGGCGGCGACGGCGGCGGCGGCGTCGGCACGTCGGCGCACGACGACGCCGCCGGCGGCGCCGCGCACGCGGCCGGCAGAGCGGGGAGGAAGGCCAGCCGCGCCGCGGCAGGCGTTTCACTCGCCGAGCAGAGGCGCTGACGACGTGGGACCCGCACCGTGAGAGGGCAAGGCCGAAGCTCTCGACTAAAGCTCCGTGCGGCACCTCTCGAGCCAGATCGGTCCGTGACCCAGACATCCGGCGACGTGATCTGTTCGATGCGCAGCCCCAGCCGAGGTCCCGGCCCCCCTCTCGGGGGGTAGCATTTCGTCCTGAATTTCTGTTTGATGGCCCCGGGGCCCGCCAAGGGGCCCCAGAGGCAGAACTCGAGGAACATCGCCGTGACTGAGCAAAACATATCGCCAGAAACCTGTGGAGGGGCTTGGAGCCCGACGCCAGGCGAAGCCGCCTGAAAGTTTTGATCAGATCACAGTCGGGCCGAGGCATAAGATCCAGGTCGTTTCGGGGAGAGTGCCCTAATTTTCGTTTTTGCTTGTTGGATGTTCTTGTGCGTCCTGGGGGAGGGTGCCCTCGAGTGCTCTTCAGTTTGGCCAGCGGAGGGTCTCCTGTTCTTGAAGGATGTTATTACGTCCTAGGTCCGACTGTACCTACGACGCCTGGCTCCCGCGGGGCGTCCTCGCCTCGAAGCTCTCCAGGCGCCTCTGGAGGGGATCCCTCGTGCGCCTCCACGGCCAGACACAGCTCGAGATGCTGGCCAGGAGGGGGCCCATGAGGCATGGGACCTCTTGTGGGCTTCTTCGGGCCCCTTGGGGACCTCTTGCGGCCTCCTGGGAGCCTCTCGTGGCCGAGGGCTCGAAATGTCCGTTCGGGTCCCCCGTCAGGGCACGCTCTTGGCTGTCTTGGGGTCCTCTCGTGCTGTTTTGGGGCCCTCTTAGAGGCCCCTTGGACTGTCTTGGGGCGATCTCAGGGGTTTCTTGCGCCGTCTTGGAGCAGCGGGAAGTGAAAAAGGCGAGAACGCCCAATTTCATTTACAGCAAACAAGAGCAGCGGATAATCAATGAATTGGGCCTTTTGGGGCCTTCTCGGGAGGGCTCTTGGAGGCTTCTGGGGGCCTCCTGGGGCCTCCTGGGCAGTCTGGAGGGCGTGAAGCCGTTTTGGACCGATCGTTTGGCGATTGGGGACCCTCTTTGAACGTCTGGGGGACCTCTTGGGGCACTCTTGGCCTGTCTGGGTACTTTCTGAGGCCCCAGGACCCCCAGTGCGCGCGCGTAGCATCATTTGACAGGGATGCCGGGGGGTCGATGCCAGCCTGGCCGGGACGGCATGATCTCAGATGGCATGGAACGGTGAAGCAGAACCCGGTGCACATCGTATCCTCCCAGGGCGACCCTCTATAGGTCTGGGCCCGGGAGGGCCGGAGAGTCGACGTGCTTCCTCAGATTGGGCGCTGCGTAATGGGGGGGTCATAAATGGGGGGGCGGCGAGGGTGGTCCGAAAAGGTACCCAAACGGTACCCAAACGAGCCCCCTGGGGCTCTGGAGGGGCCCGAAAGGGGCACGAAAGGGGACCTTTTCTGACCCCCCCATTTGTGGCCCCCCCATTAAGCCACGCCCAATCAGAGGGGGACGGCGCGTGCCGCGGAGAGCCGGGCGGGGCTGCAGCCTGCGTGTGGTGCACCCGCGCACGCGGCGCCCACGGGCGGCCCCGGGCGACGGCCCCGGCCGGCGCGCGAGGCGCCATCTCCTCCTCCTCCTCCTCCTCCTCCTCCTCCTCCTCCTCCTCCTCCTCCTCCTCCTCCCTCCTCCTCCCCCCTCCTCCTCCTCCCTCCTCCTCCTCCTCCTCCTCCTCCTCCTCCTCCTCCTCCTCCTCCTCCTCCTCCTCCGCCCACGGGCGGGCACCGGGCGAGGCGCCGCAGCGGGCATTCGAAGAGGAGGCCGAGGGCGGGAGGCGCCCGCAGCGCAGAGCGTGCTCCTGCGGGTTGGGCGAGCGAGGGGGGGGGGGAAGCGAGAAGGAGAAGGCCTTCTCAGAGGCCGGCGGGGCTTCTCGGAGGCCCTCCGGCCCTCCGAGAAGTGTTCTGCGTCTTCGGGGAAGGCTTAGTTAGGGAATCCTTGACGCTCCGCGTATCCCCACCAGCTCGCTTCGCTTGCCGTTCTTTTCCTGCTGCCTAGTCGCGGCCCGACTAGTGTTCGGACGGCTTTCGACCCGCCTCGCGAGCCTGTTGACCAAAAATGTATCCCCACCAGCCCTGCCCCTGCCGGCTCGGCGTCCGAATTGATTCGTGCGCCTGCGTACCCAAAAGTATCCCAAACCAGCCCATCCAGAAGCAGATCGCCAGGCGGGTTGCCTTGATCAGGGAAGTGTAGAAGAGTGCAGTGCAACAACCGCCTCGGAAGCGTCTTCTCTGAGCTCTCTTCGAGCCATCTTGGGGCTCTCTTGGGTCCTCGCGAAGCCTCTTGGGGCCCTCTTGAGGCCTTCTTGGGGCTTTCTCCTGGCCTTCTTTGGGCCTGCTTGGGGCTGTCTGGGTGGTCTAGGAGGTCTCTTGGGGCCGTCTCGGGCCCCATGGCTCAAAAAGAGGAGGTTCATGACCCCTCGAAGGCTCAAACATTGCGGATTGGATTCCTTTTGGGGCGCTCTTGGGGTGCTCGTGGGTGCTCTTTGGGCCCTCTTGGATTCTTCTTGGAGCTGCCTTGGGCCATTTGGGGGCCACGTGGAGGTTTCAAAAGCCAAACAGAAATTGAAAAGGCGAGAACGTAAAAGACATGAATTGTTCTAAGGTTTTGAATATTTTGTGGCTTCTTGGGGAGGTCAATAGAGGGCTTGAAGGGCACTCGAAACCGTCTTGGGGCCGTCTTAAGGTGTCTTGGATATACATTGGAGATTATATTAACCCATCTTGAGCTTTCTGGAGCAATATTGGATGCCATCTTGCGCTCTCAGAAGCCCTCTTGGAGCCGTCATGGGCCACCATGGAAGCTCTAACCCCTCGCGGGGCACCCCTTCCAGTTCCAGGGGAGGGGGCAGGGGGAGGGGTCAAGGCACCCTCCTAGATCGCAAGCCGTCTTGCTCACTCCCACCCGCCCTCCCAACACATAAGTAACACCCGAGCCTCAGCATGTTCAGCGGTCGTCTTTGGATGGACAGCCACTGGGAACCAAAACCGACCCCATATGCGCGACGCTGGGACGAGGTGCGCTACGCGTGCCAGGCGCGCCGCACGCGCCAGGCACCCCTGGGGCACTAGCGTGCAAGGCACGCTTGGTGCGCCAGATGCGCTACGTGCGCCTGGTGTGCCGCATACTCCAGCCGCGCCAGGTGCACCGCGTTCGGAGCACGTGCAGGGTGTGTCAAGTGGGCCTGCGTACGTGACAGCACATATCGGGAAACATGTCGGCCTCCACCACCCTTGTCGAAAACCAATGCCCATCATGGTGTTTGGTGGGCCTGCACTCAGAAGGCCATGCGCCACCACCCCCGCCGTCCCTGGCAAAAGCCATTTGACGGTGATCGCGGGGCGGCCACCCATGATCCAGATTTCGCCGCCAGGTGAATTTGTTATTTTTGGCAGGGATGGTTGCCCTGCGCACAGCAGGCAATATGTTGACACTCCCGCCGTCCCTGTCAAAAGGTTGCGCAAAGTGCCCGTGGGCCTCACGAACATGACTCAAGATTTAACCCCAAAGTGTGCTTTTTATTGCTTTTGTTGACAGAGATGGTGGGGGGGGACCCGCATCGAGTTGGTTGCGCAGGCTAAGAACTTGGAGGCAGAGTGTGACCTGCATGATTCTTGGGCAGGGATTGTTGGGGGGTGGGGGTCATCGGGTCGACATTGTTCCTGGTTGGCTGCCGGTCGCCTGGAGGAGGCGGTGTATAGTAATAGGGAGCAGTGACTAACCCCTCGCCCGAGCACGGGACGGAGGGAGTTTTGACAGAGAGAAGACAAAACTCGTTAAACCACCTATGGCCAGAGGACTGGTGGGACTTCTCAGAAGGGTGGGGGACATCCGAGCTGGCTTTCCATTCGAGTCGTTCTTGTGACGGCCTCGCGGCATGGTTTGGGCCCCTGGGGGCCGAAAACATCAAATAAACGGTGGTTACGTTTGTTTGTTTGTTTGCGACGCGTGGATCTGAGGATCTTCCTCTCTCTACCTCGACTTTCCCGAACAAAGCTTGATGCAAGTAGGCATGGAGTCGTGTGGCATTATTCGGATCACAGCGAGGTCGCGCTGAGGCCACATAATCCCTACCCCCCCTGCCACCCTGCCAATGTTGCCGGGGAGACCGCCGAGCGAATCCTCGGGACAAGTTTGGTTTGGGGGCTGGGTGTGGGGTGGGCAGGATCGAGTCTTCCCGTGTTTTTGTTGTCCTGAGGGTTGTAGATTGTTCTTGCGTGGAGAGAAGCTCGCGCCCGCAGGCCCAGCTGGAAGAGTCGCGCAGGCAGGCCGCACTCCAGGCGAAGACGCTCGGGGACGAGGAGACCGCACGCCACGCTCAGGAAGAACGGCGCTTGAGGATGGCGTTCGGCGGCGAGCCTGGGGGGGGAGGGGAAGCGAGGTGGGGCGGGTCTTCTCACGAGGCTCGGATGGCCTTCGGCTTTCTGAGAAGTTCGCCAAGCCCCCCCCCCAAAAGACACACACAAGACGCCTCGGGAGGCGCGAGGGCGTCCGAGGAGCCCCGCCACCCTCTGAGAGGGCCTGTCCCCCTCGCACTCCCCCCCCCCCCGGGCTCGCCACCAAGGCGTGCCCCCCAGGCCCGGACTGGAAGATAGCAAGAGGTCCGCACGGATGTCTTGGGTCGGCGCCAGCACACGGGGGGGGGGCCCAGCGCCGACCCAGACAACCCGCGCGCACCTCCCGGACGTGCACGTTCGTGCTCACCCCCTGTTCCTGCATCGAGGAATGGTGGGCCCCAGGCCCAGACCGCGGGGCGTCCCGGGTGCACTCCGCGCGCGCCCGCTCGGGGACGGAGCGGCCCCGGGCCCAGGGCGTCGTCGGGCCCTGGGGCAAGTAGGGAAAGATCCGAGATGAACAACTTGCCCAGGGCAAGGGGCAAAGAGCTCGGAGGCACCCGCGTTGACGAGTTTAGGCGTCGGAGGTGTGGGTCCCGAGTTGTTGTTCCGAATGATCTTTGTGTTCTTCTGGTTCCTGCAAGTTTGGGGGGCACTAGAGGGGGGGGGGGTTCTCCAGCAGCTCCGCCTCGTCGAGAGCCTTTGGGAAGAGGAGGAGGAGGAGGAGGCAGGGAGGATGGAGGAAGGGAAGCAGGAAGGGTTGAAGGGAGGTGTGAGGAGGAGGAGGAGAAGGAGGAGGAGGAGGAGGAGGAGAAGAATATTCCTCTTCTTGTTCGGGTGGTGGAGCAGGAGAGGGAGGAGAAGGAGGAGGAGAAGGAGAAGGAGGAGGAGGAGGAGGAGGAGGAGGAGGAGGAGGAGGAGGAGGGGGAGGAGGAGGAGGAGGAGGAGGAGGGGGCGGAGGAGGAGGGCTTCGAAGATCGAGATTTGAGGATCAATTGTTGTTGTTCATCCTCGCCCTCCTTCTCATCCCCTCATCACCATACTCCTCCTCCAAGGGCCTCCTCCCCCTCTTAAAACCTCGATCCACCGATTCATCCCCAAGCAATGGCATCCTCCTCCAAGAGCCTCCTCGTCCTTGAAGCGCGACCGTGTCCCCCGCTCGAAATTGGGCGTTGTCGAAGGCGACCTAAGGTGCCCCAAGGATTCCCGGGGAGGCCCCAGCAGCGCTCCGTGGGTCAAGTCACGCAGCCACACGAGTGTCCCGCGGAGGAGTATGACGACGACGCTTCTAGGGTTTCGGCCGTCAGCCACCCAGGAAGAAAATGTGGGCAGCCCGCGCGGATCGTCTTCCTGAGAACCCCTCGCGCGGTCCAGAGGGCCTCAGGGGCTCCAAACGACGCGAGAAGCCTATGGCACCTCGGCTAGCACCATCCGTGACGGCCCGCCACGAGGATCGAGGATCAAGGATCCTCCTCTCCCTCCCCTCCGCCTCCTCGTTCCCTCCCCACCCACCTCCAGACGCTTCCACCCTCTATCCCCAGATATCCGACAATGTGTAAAAGAAAGCGTGGCCCAAGAGGTCCCGACATCCACCATGCGGGTGGTTTTCCGGCGCAGATCAATGTGCGTCTAGTTTGGAGGGCCTGAAAACGGGCCCCAGAGGCCAGAATCGATGAAACAATTGGCGTGAAGAAATGATGTGCTTTGAGATCTGGGCCTTCGAGTCTCCTCGAACCTCGAGCCGCCTCCCCTCCGAAATGCCCCCCCCCCCCCCCAGGAGCGCGAGGCGTCCAGCGCCGCCGCGCTGCTCCGCAGCCGCCCGCGGCCCCGGCAGGGAGGGCGGGGCCCCTGGGTCACAGGCCCATGAACTAGGACCCTCGCTCCTCATCCTGCTCCTTCTCCTCCTCCTTCTCTCCTCCTCCTCCTCCTCCTCCTCCTCCTCCTCCTCCTCCTCCTCCTCCTCCTCCTCCTCCTCCTCCTCCTCCTCCTCCTCCTCCTCCTCTTCCCTTCTGCTGCCAATGTTCCTCCTCCCTCTCCTCCTCCTCCCCTCCTCCTCCTCCTCCTTCTCCCCTCCCTCTCCTTCCTCCTCCTTCTCCTCCTCCTCCTCCTCCTCATCATCATCATCATCATCATCATGATCGTCATCATCATCATCACCACTCATCATCGTCAGCAGCAGAAGCAGCAGCAGCAGCAGCATCATCATCAGCATCAGCATCATCATCCTCATCCTCATCCTCATCCTCGTCATCCTCATCCTGATCCATCATCCTCATCCTCCCCTCCCTCCCCTCTCCCCCTCCTCTTCCTCCTCCCTCCCTCTCCCCTCCCCCTCCTCTTCGTTCTCCCCTCCCTCTCCCCTTCTCCTCCTCCTCCGCCTCCGCCTTCCTTCTCCTCCTCCTCCTCCTCCTCCTCCTCCTTCTCCTCCTCCTCCTCCTCCTCCTCCTCCTCCTCCTCCTTCTCCCCCTCCTCCCCTCCCTTTCCCCCTCCCCCTCCTCCTCTTCCTCCTCCCCTCCCATCTCCCCCCCTCCCCCTCCTCCTCTTCGTCCTCCCCTCCCCTCCCCCTTCTCCCTCCTCCTCCGCCTCCGCCTTCCCTTCTCCTCCTCCGCCTCCTCCTCCTCCTCCTCCTCCTCCTCCTCCTCCCCCTCCCCCTCCTCCCCTCCCTTTCCCCCTCCCCCTCCTCCTCTTCCTCCTCCCCTCCATCGTCCCCTCCCCCTCCTCCTCTTCGTATTCCCATCCCTCTCCCCCTTCTCCTCCTCCAATTTGACACAATGTTCAAAATGTTGCTCTCGTTGAAGCGCTGGCCTCATTTTCGGGCTAGTTCGTTCCGGATCGTGCTCCCGCTGCAACGTTGGCCTCATTTCCGCGCTTCCGCTCGTTGCGCATCGTGCTCCCGTTGCAGCGCTGGCGTCATTATTTCCAGCGCCATGCGACGGCATGATGTTCGGTCCTTCCAACTGGGCCCCAACATGTAGGAAATGCCCCCCCCCCCCCGGAAAAAACATCGGAAGGCTTTTTTGGCCGCAGAAGCCTTTTCCCACTTTGGGACGTCGCCACGCCATGCTATGTAATACTACGCGTTGATCGTCAACACTATGCTATGCCATGTAATTATATGCCATGCGACGACATCCGAAAACAGAGGGGAATTCTAGACGCTTCGCGTATCCCCACCAGCCCGTCCAGAAATGAGTCCCAGGGGAGTGGAGGTTATGAGGGAAGCGGGGGAGCATGCAGAAGAACAAAGGGCGGGGTGAGCCGCCATATACCCCAAGAGGGGGAGGATGTAGGAGGAGCCGTCGTCGTCGGAGTAGGAGGAGGAAGAGGAGGAGCAGGAGGAGGAGGGAGGAGGATAGAAGGAGGAGGAGATGGAGGACTGCGAGGACGAGGAGGACGAGAAGGAGGAAAAGGAGAAGGAGGAGGAGGAGGAGGAGGAGGAGGAGGAGGGGGAGGGGGAGGAGGGAGGAGGAAGAAAAAGAGGAGGAGGAGGAGGAGGACAATTGCGAATTTGGGGGCCTCTTGGGCCGTCCCGGGGGCCTCTTGCGTATCTCGGGGAGCCTCTTGTGGCCTCTTGGGGGTCTCTTGGGGGCCTCTTGGAGGCCTCTTGGGGGCCTCTTGGGGCCTCTTGGGGCCCTCTTGGGGCGCTCTTGGGGCGCTCTTGGGAGCCTTCGAGGCGCTCTTGGGGCCATCTTGGAGGAGATCTATCAAAGAAGGGGGGGTCCCCAATTAGCGCTGCCCCTCTAGAGTGCCTCGAGTCGCCTCTTGGGCCCCCCCAAGAGGCCAAAATCCTTCCAAAACCTAGGTAAAATCAATGTTTTTTGTTTTCTCGCCTTTTCGCTCTTGGACCCGTCTTGGGAGCCTCTTGGGCCTCTTGGGGGTCTCTTGGGAGTCTCTTGGCAACGTCTTGGAGGCTTCTTGGGGGCCTCTTGGGGTCTCTTGGGGCCCTCTTGAGGCGCTCTTGGGGCGCTCTTGGGAGCCTTCGGGGCGCTCTTTGGGCCATCTTGGAGGAGATCTATCAAAGAAGGGGGGGTTGCTTATTAGCCCCGCCCCTCCAGAGTGCCTCGAGTCGCCTCTTGGGCCCCCCCAAGATGCCAAAATCCTTCCAAAACCTAGGTAAAATCAATGTTTTGTGTTTTCTCGCCTGTTCGCTCTTGGAGCTGTCTTGGGCCATCTTGGACGCTCTGACACCTCGCGACCGGCCCCGTCCAGGTCAGTGGGGAGGGGTAAGGGGAGGGGTAAACCCCCCCCCGAAGGGGAAGAAGGGGGTTGGCAGAGGAAACTCCCTAGACCACCTACGCCCTAAAGGGCTGGTGGGACTACGCCATGGTAAGGGATGGGAGGGAAGGGTAGGATGTCAGATATGACGCGAGCGCATCTAGCTTGCCCCCCTCCCCCTTGTCCTCCTCCTCTTCCTCCTTCTCCTCTTCCTCCTCTTCCTTTTCCTCCTCCTCCTCCTCCTTCTCCTCCTCGTGTTCCTCCTCCTCCCCCTCCTCCTCATCCTTCCCCTCCTCCTCCTCCACCTCCACCTCCTCCTCCTCCTCCTCCTCCTCCTCCTCCTCCTCCTCCTCCTCCTCCTCCTCCCCCTTCTCCTCATCCTCTCCTTGTCTTCCCCCTCCTCGTCCTTCCCTTCTCGTTTTCCCTCCCCGTCCTTCCCTTCTAACTCCTCTCTGCAGGTCCTGAGGGCAACGGGTCCTGAGGTTTGTCGCCAGTTTCGTCGTCCCAGCTCCCGCCACGGGCCCCGGGAACGTCAGAAAACTATTCAGGATGAAGAGCTTGTCTTTGGGGAAGGCCCCAGGGTCCAGGACCCGTTTCCCTCAGGACTGGTTCCCCCCATGTTCAATGAGGTCAGAGCAGATGGGGTCGAAGGGTCGCGCCGCATCGCCGATGCATCGGCGATGCTCAGGGAAGGCTAGAAATCCCCAGATCAGACGTACCTACCCGGGAGAGGGGCCTCAGGGTCCACCTCGGGACGCCCAACAGCTGCGTTTTGGCGCGCACCGTGGCCGGAACCATGGCCACTGCGACACCTCATTCGGGGCACGTCGTCATGGGGGTACGTTTGGGCATTTTCCATATACGGCTCGATGCAGAGCCCAATTCTCGCCACACCGACGTCGCCCATGCATCGCCGACGTCGCCGATGCATCGCCGATGCATCGGAGATCCACCTCCTCCTCCTCATCCTCATCATCCTCCCCCTTCTCGTCTTCCCCCCCTTCCTCCTCCTCATACTTCCTCCTCCGCCCCATCCTCATCCACCTCCCCCTGCCCGCCAGGAGCGGAGCTGTCCATATCTGGTCAGGCCTTCAGGGGCCGCATAGGCAAAGCAGTGATTAGCCAAGACCACAAGGCTGCTGCCGCACTGCTGTCGTTCGTCTGTTTTTCTTCCTCCCTTCTCCCCCCCAGCCCCGGTCACCACGTAGCCTCTCCGACGCCGACGCCCGAGCCCTTCTCTATCGCTGTCACCCCAGAGCCTCTCCGATGCCGACGCCCGAGCCCTTCCCCCCTCGCTGTCACCCCAGAGCCTCTCCGACACCGACGCCTCAGCCCCCCCCCCTCCCCCCCCCCCCACCGAAGCACGAAGTCTCGGCCCGCCCGCCCGCGCCCGCTCCCAGTGGCCGCTCCCGCCGGCCCGTCTGCCCCCCCCCGAGCCGCGCGGGGGCGCGCAAGGCGGAGCAGCGCACGCAGGGGAACGACGAGCTCCAGAAGCTCCTGGCACCGGGGGGGGGGGACAAAGCCCCCCATCCAGGGCGACGACCTCCTCCTCCTCCTCCTCCTCCTCCTCCTCCTCCTCCTCCTCCACCCAGGAGGGAAAAAAACACAGACACAATGAATCGTCGATCCCCCAGAAATATAGGAAAAGATGGAAAGTGGGGAAGACAAAAACCCAGAATATATATATAGAGAGAGAGAGAGATATATATATATATATATAGAAAAAAAAAAAAAAAAAAAAAGATGGGGAATCCGTTTATTTGTGTATATTTATCTGTGTGTCCCATGGCCCCTTCATCCACGTCCTCCTCCTGAAAGCCTAGAAGCCTGAAGGCAAGAGAGTTCGTCGAGCGTTGCCCTCCCCCCCCGCAGGGCCGGTCGGCCCGTGGGGGGCTGATCAGACTGAGAGCCTGGCGATTCCTTGAGCAGTCGCTCCATGAGTTGCCGGCTGGGAGAGACGCTAAACTTAAGTCGGGCCCGTCCCTCTACAGGAAAATTCAAAAATATTTAAAACATAGTCTGGCGACGATGTTTTAGTATTAGTTTGCCATGTTGGGGCATGTTTTGATTATTCGTTCGTCGAACATCCCCCTGTAGGGGGACAGGCCAGACTTAAAGATAAACTGCAGGACGTAGCGACAGCAGTGAGAGAGAGGAAGGAGAGAAGGAATAAACAATACTCATAACATCAAGAAGGGCAAGAAGAGAGAAGGGGTGCCTGGCGGGCATGGCGTGTGATAGTGCGGCTTGAGGCGAGCACGGCGTGTGACGGCCACGCTCGCCAAGAAGGAGCGCAAGTGAAAGGCCTGGCTGACGGGGCACGCGTGTCTTAAGCAGCGGTAAGAGGTTGGCACGGAAATGTCAGCTAGTTTGCAGGCGCAAGAAGGTTTCGTTGAGGAGGGGGGATGGGTGGTAGGTGAGTACTGGCGGTGCGGGCACGGGCATGGCCAGGCCACACCCGCCAAAGTGGAAGGCACAAAGGCTTCTCCCCCTACCCGTAGGAAGTCCCAAACGACGGCCCACAGTCCCGCCACGGTAAAGCTCACCCGCCGAGGCAGGCGTAATTAGGGTTCCCGAGGTAAGGACTGTGGGCCGCCGTGGGGGGTCCAGCGGGTGCAGGGGAGGTTTTTGCTTTCCACGGCGGCGGCCGTGTAGCCAGGCGGCTGTGGTGCCAGCAGCCGTTCTGGCCATCGCAAGGGCAGCCAGCGGCTCGTTGCGCTTCCAACCCCCATCCAATGCTCTCCACGTTGTGCTGCCGTGTGGCGGTGGCGTAGTAGTGGTGGTGGCGGCGCTGCGGCAGGCGCGGCAAGCCGCACCCGCCAAGGTACAAGGCACAAAGGCCTCTCCCCCTTACCCATAGGAAGCCCCAGGCGATGGCCCACAGTCCCACCAAGGGAGCACTCACCCGCCGAGGCAGGCAAGAGTTCCCGAGGCAGGGACTGCGGGCCGCCGTGGAGTTTCCACCAGGTGGGGGAGAGTTGTGTGCCTTCCGCAGCTGCGGCCACCCGAGCGGCTGTGGTGCTTGCGGTCGCCCTGGCCAGAGCCTGGACAGCCGTTGGCGCATTGTCCGTCCCCCCCCCGCATGAGATCCCCCAGAGGTAGGAGCTGAGGAGGGGCTGGTGGCGACTGCTGGCGCTGAGCTGGAGAGCAAGAAAATACATAGAAAGAGGTGGAGCAGGATGCAGTGGCTGGCTCTCGGCGTTGCGGGGCGTGCTGTCGCGAGGTGGCGTGCGCTCGGCCAGGGCGGCCGCTGGTGAGTTTGCCCATCTCCCCCTATGGATCCCACCCGTCCCTCCGCCACACGAGCGGGTAGGTGAACGTTGGTGGGGCAGAGGTGATGTTGAGCGGGGGCCGCAAGGAGGTGAACCAGGAGGGAGTACAAGTTTGGCTCAGGCCCGCTCAATACTGGTCTAAAGGAGGCTCTTCGTATTGCAACCTCCGAGGCCCCAGCTCGCAGCTGGTGATTTACCACCCCACCGAAGAGGCGCATGACAGAGCTCTATCCACTGGTCTGGTGTAGCTTGCACTCTCGCAGCACGCTTGTTAGTAGCATAGTGGATGAGAAAGGTACGGCGGGTTCTAGAGCCTTGTCTTACGTGGATCAACTGCAGAGTGTAGCTTGTTGTCGTGGTGTTTGCCGTAAGTGTTGTGCTGTATGATGGCCACGGGGTGCGTGCAGAGGTGGGAGTATGCCGTCTCCAGGGGGTAGCGACATGGGTGTCGCAGGGAATGGGTAGTCGGTGCGAGCCAATTGTCGCTGATGCTGGGTGTCCAGTGAGTACGGCTGCTTGGTGAAAAGGGTAGCACCGAGAAATAAATGTGGAACAGAGCAGCTGGCCGCTGGTGGTGTCTGCGATCGGTCTAGTGGAGCAAGACTGGTCAGACATGTAGGAGATGTTAGACGCAACGATGGGTCTCCGTTCGGCCAGTCTCATCTTGAGGCGGAAGCCTCAGTGGTTGTGGGTGGCCAGGGGGGGGGCCTCCTGATTCACCAGAGTGGTCGGCGATTCGGGCTGGTAGACCTGTGCGAAGGGCGGCCACGGTGTCCATGGTGGCGCCGCTTCAATTTGACTGGCGGTGCCGCTGCAATTTGACTGGCGGTGCCGCTGTTTGCCAGCAGTTGTGGTGGTGCCAGGTTTGAACCAGTGTGGGTGGTCTTGGCGGCGTCGATGGCCTGATTGGCAGCGTGGTCCAGGTTGTCGTGCCCGAGGTATGCCACATCTTCGCTGTCGTCGTGGATTGCCTTCGTGTCGGCTATCAGCGGTGGGTACCTCGTGTCGTAGATTGTGTTGCCCGTTGTCTGGAGGCTGCCAATCGTGATCATGATGCGAGTTGGTGCCGACGTCCGCTGTGCGGTATCGGTGGCGGTGGCCCGCCATGTGCACTTCTCTTCGATCCGGCGTCGGGAAGAGGAGAGGAACAGGTCCCTGCCGACGGCGTCGGTGGTGTGGAGTAGGTCTCGCTCCTGGGGCCCTGGGCCTGCCGGCGCTGGGCCGGACTGCGTGGGCTCTGCGGCGCCGTCGCTCTGTGTCGCGGTGCCCGGCTGTCCTGGCATGCGGTGGTTGCCCGCGACGTCGCCCTCACTTGGTGGCCCCCCCGCGTCGCCTCCGCTCGCCGTGGGTCGTGGGTTGCCCGGCGACGTTGCTCCGTGGGGCGGCTTCCGGAGCCTCGATCAGCCGGTTGGTCTTGTCGATGGCCTTGGTGGCGAGTCCCCTTTGAATGAGAGAGAGAGATCGCGAATGGAGCCGCCTCCGACGCAGGATTCTGGCGCACGCCCAGCTCGATGCGCGCGAGGAGGTCGAGTCCAGCCGGGGACGAGCCTGAATCCGAGCAGCTGGGTCCAACGGAGAAAGCGGATGATAGCAACGCTGCTGAGCAGGACGAAAAGGCGGGCAGCGACGGGGACGAGGAACAGAGCCGCGGGCAATTGGCTCAGTTAATTGGGAAAAAGTCCGAGGCGTTGCGCGAGCCGCCTATTGCCGAAGTTCCCGAGTCTCCTGTGTTCTCGCTATCCGTAAGGGCTTCGCCCCCTGCCGCCGGCCCCCTCTCTCGGAGAATGGGCCATGGAAGAGCTAAGTCATGAGGCGTTGGCGCTGTCGTGCAGCAGTATCGGAACTTCATGCGAGGCCGATTCGCAATCGGCAAAACCAACTGATCACAAGAGGGGTTACCACACAGGCGATTGGTAAGACGTGTTTGGTTTACGAGCTTGGTTACCACACCTTGGGATTAAAGGGCCGAGGGAGTACTCGCAGTTTGGGTTACCACGCCTTGCGATGGATGTGCGTGAGGGGTGGCACCGAATTTCAGAAATGTGGCAAATCCCCTGTGTTTTTGGACCCTGACCCCGCGGATCTGCGTGAGGGGTGGCACCGAATTTCAGAAATGTGCAAATCCCCTGTGTTTTTGGACCCTGACCCCGCGGATCTGCGTGAGGGGTGGCACCGAATTTCAGAAATGTGGCAAATCCCCTGTGTTTTTGGACCCTGACCCCGCGGATCTGCGTGAGGGGTGGCACCGAATTTCAGAAATGTGGCAAATCCCCTGTGTTTTTGGACCCTGACCCCGCGGATCTGCGTGAGGGATGGCACCGAATTTCAGAAATGTGGCAAATCTCTTGTGTTTTTGGACCCTGACCCCGCGGATCTGCGTGAGGGGTGGCACCGAATTTCAGAAATGTGGCAAATCCCCTGTGTTTTTGGACCCTGACCCCGCGGATCTGCGTGAGGGGTGGCACCGAATTTCAGAAATGTGGCAAATCCCCTGTGTTTTTGGACCCTGACCCCGCGGATCTGCGTGAGGGGTGGCACCGAATTTCAGAAATGTGGCAAATCCCCTGTGTTTTTGGACCCTGACCCCGCGGATCTGCGTGAGGGGTGTCGATTTCGAGCCCCCCCAGCAATTCAGACAACGCGCCCAGGGGACGCTAAAAGTCTTGTTTGGGCCTCTCCCCCCCTCGCGCGGTCAATCAACTAGTTACAGTAACCAGCAAGAAGTCAACTAGTTACAGTAACCAGCAAGAAGCAGAACTGTAACACTGGAAACTACAAGCTACAACTGGTACAGGAAACTGCGAACCCGCGCCTACAGCCTGGTGGCCCCACAAGGGGGCCGGCGGATTTCAGCAAGGAAGCTTGCGGATTTCATGAGACGCTTGACAAGATTGCGCGAAACGTTGTCTCGGACTTCTTCGAACAGTCCATTTAGATTGTGACGCGGCGCACCATTCGCACGACGTTGGTTTTCCGAACGGAGCACAGGAATATCGGGCCGAACGAAGGGGGGGGATAGCTATAGGGAAAGGGGGTTTACGAAATCTGCTGCATGCAGCTGGTTTCGGCCCCGCCGCCCATTCCTCGATACATGGGCGCCTCCCGGCGCCGGGAGGCGCTGGGAAAAGCAGCTGCGAGAGCTGATTCTCTCCCCTACCCGTTGCTGTCCGCCCCTTCTCGTTCCCCCCGAGAAGAACTCCCTCGAGAGCGGTGCGATCCCGAACCCAAAGGCCCACATCGCAACGACGCATGCCCCGACTGCCGGCCCTGCGCCGCCCGAGGTCCCATCGCCGAGGGGGTCCGCCGATCTTCCGCTGGCGGAGCTCGCCGAGCCTTCCGCGAACGGCGCGAGCGCGGTGCTTGACGGGCGTGGGTTTAGAACAGACAGGAACTGAGCGATGCGCGCAGATAAGATTATGTGTATAGATATGTGTGATTATGATGAGTGAGTTTACGATGCCGAACCTCATCGCAAGATCGTTGCTTGCCCCAGCGAGCGCCTCACCCCAGAGGGCAATCTCGACGAAGGCGTGCCTGTGGAAGGCGACGAGATCCGTGGAGTCTTGGATTTGTTGTTGTGGCTCCTGCGCCACTGTTTCCACGCTGTCTCCAAATGGGGGGGGGGCTGGCCTCGGCTCTCTGGCAGCGTGGATCGGATGAAGATAGCTGGAAGCCCCAATCCTGAAGCGACGACTATGCACGAGCTCTGCCAGATATGGACGAGATCTTTCATCGCAGAGGACAGCGACAAATATGAAGGATGGAGGGCTTGCCTGACGGCGAGGAGCAGCATTACGTGGTTGATCGGTACCAGTAGTGGGTATATTGTCGCCTGCGTGGAGGAGAGGCGGATCCTCCATCCGCATGAGAATGGGATGGGGTCGTCGCATGGTCTGACTTTGGCGTTGATGACCAACTCTGAGCACCAGGAAATGTACAGGCCAGTGGACGGTAGGTTCCCAGTTTCGGCCGCGGGGCTGTCCCATCACCGCGACAAGAGACGTGTCAGTTTCTAGTCGGCGAATCAGAAGATTGGAGCGATTGCCGCGGGGGGGGAGTCATCTGACGGCGCCCCTGCCCCTCCCAACGATCATGAAGAGGGCGAGCGCTGGCTCGAGGCCTCCTCCCTCCCTCCCTCCCCTCCTCCCCCTCCTCCCTCCCCTCCTCCCTCCCTCCCCTCTTCCCTCCCTCTCCTCCTCTCCTCCCTCCCTCCCCTCCTCCCTCCTCTCCCCCTCCTCCCTCCCTCCTCGAGGCCTCGGAGGGAGGGGGGAAATTGTCCAGGCCCGAAGCTGGGAGCGCCGAGAATCGAACGGCCTCGGAGCACAAGCAGGTGCAAGCTGCGACTCCGTGCCGAAGCCTGGCGAGTAGATCTCCGCCAGGAAGAGCCTCAGTTTTCAGGGGCGCCTCGAAGGTGCCAAAGTAGGTGACTGAATGTGTGCGATCGCAGCTCTTTCGCTTCGCCCCTGGTGCGAATTCCAGGGGCGCCGCTGCTTGCGAAGAGAGGCAGGCAATCGAGAGAATCTGGGACCAGGACTGCCGAAGTCCCAGAAGATCGGTAGGTAAAACTAAGGAGCGCTCCTTGGAGAGGCGAACATCATTTTGCGTTGTCATTGCAGCCATCTGCGGATCGGACCCCTGCGTGTCCAACAAGATCGTCGCGTATGCCCTCGCCCCCGGGACCCAGAAATCAAATGCGCCGCAGACTCTGGGGTTGCGAACGTTCAGCGCCGCCCCCAGGCATTGGGCTGGCGACTGGGGTGGCAGACATTCAGCAAGTTGGCTCAGAGGTTTCAGAACGACGCCCGCCCGAAATTTGCTTTCTTGTTGACACGAGTCCGTTTTACCTTGATTTCAGCCTTTTGGAAGTCTTTGACTGAGACTCCACTGACCCAGATAGGGCGGAGTATACCGAACCTGCGGACACATGAATAAGTGGGATGCCGCAAAGAAAGTTGGTCTGACTTTTGACCAGATCGTCAGGTTGACCAACGAATCGAGGATGACAGACCGCCAGTACTTCGAGCGTCGTCCGAAGGGTAGGGAAGCAGCCGTCGCTTTGGGCAAGGTGGGAGTCGTTTGAGGGAGTTTCTGTGGAACTACCGTCATCCTCACCCCCGGCGCGGGGAGCAGAGGAGCCCAGAGCGGCCTCCGGCACCGTTTCCGGACAGATCCGCTGGATCCGGTGACGAATCCCAAACCGGCGCCCTCGCTTGAGACATCCTCACAAAACCGGCCCCGGGGGCGGTGCCCAGAGGAGCCCAGAGCGGCCTCCGGCACCGTTTCCGGACAGATCCGCTGGATCCGGTGACGAATCCCAAACCGGCGCCCTCGCTTGAGACATCCTCACAAAACCGGCCCCGGGGGAGGTGCCCAGAGGAGCCCAGAGCGGCCTCCGGCACCGTTTCCGGACAGATCCGGTGGATCCGCTGGATCCGGTGACGAATCCCAAACCGGCGCCCTCGCTTGAGACATCCTCACAAAACCGGCCCCGGGGGAGGTGCCCAGAGGAGCCCAGAGCGGCCTCCGGCACCGTTTCCGGACAGATCCGGTGGATCCGCTGGATCCGCCGACGAATCCCAAACCGGCGCCCTCGCTTGAGACATCCTCACAAAACCGGCCCCGGGGGAGGTGCCCAGAGGAGCCCAGAGCGGCCTCCGGCACCGTTTCCGGACAGATCCGGGATCCGCTGGATCCGCTGGATCCGGTGACGAATCCCAAACCGGCGCCCTCGCTTGAGACATCCTCACAAAACCGGCCCCGGGGGAGGTGCCCAGAGGAGCCCAGAGCGGCCTCCGGCACCGTTTCCGGACAGATCCGGTGGATCCGGGATCCGACGAATCCCAAACCGGCGCCCTCGCTTGAGACATCCTCACAAAACCGGCCCCGGGGGAGGTGCCCAGAGGAGCCCAGAGCGGCCTCCGGCACCGTTTCCGGACAGATCCGGTGGATCCGCTGGATCCGCTGGATCCGGTGACGAATCCCAAACCGGCGCCCTCGCTTGAGACATCCTCACAAAACCGGCCCCGGGGGAGGTGCCCAGAGGAGCCCAGAGCGGCCTCCGGCACCGTTTCCGGACAGATCCGCTGGATCCGCTGGATCCGCTGGATCCGGTGACGAATCCCAAACCGGCGCCCTCGCTTGAGACATCCTCACAAAACCGGCCCCGGGGGAGGTGCCCAGAGGAGCCCAGAGCGGCCTCCGGCACCGTTTCCGGACAGATCCGGTGGATCCGCCGACGAATCCCAAACCGGCGCCCTCGCTTGAGACATCCTCACAAAACCGGCCCCGGGGGAGGTGCCCAGAGGAGCCCAGAGCGGCCTCCGGCACCGTTTCCGGACAGATCCGGTGGATCCGGTGGATCCGACGAATCCCAAACCGTCCCCGGGGGAGGTGCCCAGAGGAGCCCAGAGCGGCCTCCGGCACCGTTTCCGGACAGATCCGGTGGATCCGGTGGATCCGCCGACGAATCCCAAACCGGCGCCCTCGCTTGAGACATCCTCACAAAACCGGCCCCGGGGGAGGTGCCCAGAGGAGCCCAGAGCGGCCTCCGGCACCGTTTCCGGACAGATCCGGACAGATCCGGTGGATCCGCGCCCCGGGGGAGGTGCCCAGAGGAGGAATGAGGAGGAAGAGGAGGAGGAGGAGGAGGAGGAGGAGGAGGAGGAGGAGGAGGAGGAGAAGATGATGGAGCTGTGGGGTGGAGGAGGACAGACGGAGGCAAGAGAAGGATGGAGGAGGAGGAGGAGGAGGAGGAGGAGGAACCTCATCCTCACCTTCGCCAACAAGCGCACGCACTTTCTTCTATATACAGAAACTCCCGATCAACCGCAGAGCGGCCGGCTAGTATCATTCATCCTTCTAAATGTTCCTTCCGCCTCCTCCCCCCCTCCCCGTCTCCCCCCTCCTCCCCCTGCGAGCCGGGGCGGAGGAGGAAGAAGACAGCGGGAGGAGCAGGAGGAGGTTGGAGGAACGAGGAGTGCGAAGGGAGAAAGGAGGACGGAGGAGAGAATGGACTGAGGAGGAGGAGGCGGAGAGATGTGCAGGAGAGGGTGGGTTGGCGGGGGAAGGAAAATTAGCGAGAAGAGGAGGGAGGATAGGGGAGGCATGAATGTAAGAGGCGCGAGGGAGGAGATCAGAACGGATGTGGGACAGGGACGATGGAAGAGGACGAGGAGGGGGGAGGTAAGATGGAGAAGGAGTGAGGAGGGAGTGAAGGGGCGAGGGAGCAGAGAAGAGGAGGGAGGGCGGGCGTTCATCCTTCCTCGTCCCAAGATTGGTTTGTCTCAAGACGCACGAGGTCTGGGGAGGGAGGGACCGAAGCATGCAAGCATTAAGGCGAACGGAGTTCCGACGGCATTACACCCTCAACACACACACAGGAACCATGTGTGCCCTCCAGGTGCTCCACAGACTCCGCCTC